GAAGGAGTCCAAAGATTACAAGGTTTCTTGGTGACATTTCTTTTTAAAAATGTGTTTTTAATCTTTCTGGGACATCTTGTAGAATATAGGGTAGGGGAGGAGTTTCAATACTAGCCCCACAGGTCTAATAAGATGTGGTCTTTCCCCTCTTTAAATAACAGTGTAAAATTATTTCTTTCTTAATCATTATAGAATATTTGAAACTTACAGACACAGCAGAAAGTAAACGCAACACACTAAATTGATAGTTATCATTGGGTGTTATATTTGTGCCATCTTTTTCTTTTTTGTGTGTGTGTGGTTTTTTCCAGCTTTATTGAGATATTATTGACATTTAACATGTAAGTTTAAGGTGTACAATGTGATGATTTGATACGTATATATTGCAAAATGATTACCACAATAAAGTTAGTTCATCCTCTCTTGCTATTTTTTTCTTAGCTTCATATTTTAAATTTTCCTCATATTACTAGAAATTCTTTTTTTTTTTTTAATTTTATTTATTTATTTATTTTTCCCCCCAAAACCTCAGTAGATAGTTGTATGTCATAGCTGCTGTATGTGGGACGCGGCCTCAGCATGGCCGGAGAAGCAGTGTGTCGGTGCGCGCCCGGGGTCCGAACCCGGGCCACCAGCAGCGGAGTGCACGCACTTAACCACTAAGCCACAGGGCTGGCCCCTAGAAATTCTTCATAACATAATATTTGAATTCTGAATCAGTGATACAAATTTAACTTTTACCTCAAGTTATTTCCAACTTCTTACTGTCATTTATAACATTGTGGTGAATGTTTTTGTTTGTTAATCATAAGTAATTACTGAGTATGGTATGGACATTTTCAGACTTTTATACATATTTGTAAACTGTCCACAAAACAGTTATATCAGTGTACATTTTCATCACCAGTTTCGAAAATCTCTGATTTTTTTGCCTGAATTTAGTTATATTTTTTATAATACTTTTTGTCAGAGTCAAGTTTTAAAAAATGGTATCTTGGGCCAGTCCAGTGGCATAATGGCTAAGTTCGTGGGCTCTGCTTTGGCAGCCCGGGGTTCACAGGTTCAGATCCCAGGTGCAGACATACACACTGCTTATCAAGCCATACTGTGGCGGGGTCCCACATACAAAATAGAGAAAGATGGGCACAGATGTTAGCTCAGGGCCAATCTTCCTCACCAAAAAAAATAAATAAATAAAATTAAATTAATTTTTTTTAAAGTGTCTTTATTTTTATTTGCATGTCATGAGCATTTCCATCTTTTGCCTAGTTTTGAGAGTAAAATACTGAGCTGCAGTGAGATAATCTTAGAAAAAGTTAGTTCAAATGAGTAAATCATTAAAAATGGTGTATACATACCCTAAACATTTATTTTAAACTTGAAATATATATCTGTATATTTCTTTGATTCTGAGTCAAGGCATTTTCTTTGAGAATACAAGTTTGGTGTTTGGGGTGGAATGTCATGTTTCTGGCATAAACCACACCCATACGGCACTGTGTATGAGGTCCAATTTCAGTCTCTTTATAATGAGGAGGATAACATTCGAAGCAAGCTGAATGTAGACTTCTAGACTTTTATTCTTTATTTTTTCTAATATTTTGCATGTCTCACGTACATCAAAATTGGCAGATATTTTTAAGTAACTCATCTTTATTGAATGCTTTGGAAGCATTCAACTTTTCATGGAAGCAACAACTCATGGAAGCAACAGTTCTCTTTTGCACTTATTTTTTGTTTTTTAATAAAATGTATCATAATTACAAGTTCAACCGATATAAACAGGCTTAGGAACAAACTTGTTTGATTCTTGGTGAACATACATTTCCACTGGTGGAAGCAGAAATGAGAGGTTGTACTAGAGTGTTGCCTACCAGCCAAGAGCACTTAGGGTCTTTTACGGAGGGATTTGGGAGCATTGCTTAATCTAACAAATCATTTAAGTGAAAGTTGGTGTTTAACAGACTTGCAGTTCTAATATTCTCTGAAACCAGAATTTACTCATAATAAGCGTAGACATTAATCTTAAATCCTACTTCTTGCCCTCCCTCTTTCCTTTCTTGAATAATTATTTACTGTGTGCCTTGTGCTGTGCTAGGTGCAATAAATGAAGAGATGAACAACACACGGTTTCTGTTCTCAAGGATTTGAAATCCCAAGAGGGAGACATTGTGTGTGGCTGTCACTATCTGTTTTCTGCTCTAAGTACTAGCCCAGAAGTGTGAGCCACACAGACGTGGAGGACAGAGTGGGATTACTCCACTCAATCTGTCAGGGAGGAAAAACTTCCCCGTGAGGCTTGATCCTAAAGAATGGATAGGAATTAGCTAGGCTTTCAGAAGACAGATATGCATTTTGGGTAGCAGAAATAGCATGTGCACACTTTTTACTAGCAAGATTAGCAATCCTCTAAATGTCTGCTCACCTATTCAAAATTGCCTTACAATTCGTATGTGTATATATTTGTTCATTCATTTATTCATTCCTTCAACAGTGAAACTCTCACCCTGGTCCTCCCCATGCTTTGTGTTAATGATTATTGTTTTTGAAAAGAACCACATATCTATAAGCAGCAGAAATGGATGAATGCAAAGCAAAATCTTGTGTCCCATCTTCTCTGTCCTTCCCCACTCTCCCTAGAAATGCTATTAATTAACAATTCAGGGAGAGTACAATTTGGTGAATACTTACAATGTACTAGACACTTGCTTAGTGTTTTACACACATTTTCTCATTTATTTTAATCCGTAAGAATTGGAGTCTCCATGTGTAAATAAGGAAACTGAACCTTGGCAAAGTTAAGGAAGTTGCCAAAAGCTTCACTGTTGGAATTGATGAACCAGAATTTGAAGCTGTGTTCCTCTAAGTCAGAAAGTTCCTCTAACTCTTAACCGTTGCACCGAGATATGTGATTATGAGAACGACTTGCTCTAAATCACAGGAGAAAGTTTGGATACTTTTTTCCATAAGGTTCTCCTAGACAATTAGGTTTTAACATGCAAAGATAATTGAAAAATTGTGTTGAGGTTTAATTATGTCATTGATAGTTATGTAACTCATATTAAATTTAAATTATATAAATTCTTACTAGATTATAGTTCCCAAAAGACATGCCAGTTGATCAAAATGCACAGGAAGCGTCCAGCATCCTTGTACCCTCCTTCCATCACTCACCCCACATTTCTCTCTCATTAGTGTATGGATGATTAGCACTCTTACCAATATTGCAGATCCTTAACAGTCTGCTAAAACGCCCTTCTTATCCAGCCTCCAGTGGATAATCTGATGTAAATCACCTTTCTGGCAGCAGCTGTCCTTTATAAGCTTGTGCCCTGGCAATCTCCCTTTGCCTAAGCTGCACTCCCAACCCCCAACCCCACACCACTGCCACCCCCACATCCCCTGCCCGAAACACACACATACACATCTCTACTCTCTGGTTTTGTAGAACTCAAAATTCCTTAAATATACGTTTCTTTTAACTGCGGTGCCTTTGCTCTCGCTAGTCCAATGCCTTTCCCACTTATCTTCTGTTGTTGGCCTGGGAAAATCCTGCCTATAACCTCAAGTGCCCAAATAATGTCGCCTCTGTGAAGCCTGCCCCCTTCTCCAGGAGAGGTCATGTTTATCGCTTCCCTTCTGACTCTCAAAGCATTCTATTTATGTCTTTGGTAGAGCCCTTAATGCATTTAGTCATTGTTCGTTTTCTATCTGTTTCGCCTGCTCCAGAATGGGAGCTCCTAGAAGGTTAGATCATTATGAGTTATCTTTTACCCTTAGCACCCACATGTAGTAGCTTCTTAATAAATCATACTGAATTGTTACTGATATTGATAATAACCTTTATTAAGTGCATCCTATATCTTAGGCACTGTGCTAGACTTTTATACACATTATTTCATTTAATCCTCATACTCATACTATGATACAGGGACAGTTATTACCCCCATTTTACAAATTAGGAAACTGAAATTAAGGAGGCAAAATGACTTGACTAGGATAACACTTGAGCAAGCAAGTGCTGGAGTCAAGATTTGAACCCACGGTGTCTGACTCCAGAACTCATTCTCCTTTATACCAATAGGAACAGTCAATCAAATAAGTTCTCTGGGAAGTTATCAACAACTAGGAGATACATTCTCTATCGAGACCAACCCTGAATGGCTAAAGAGGATGTATCCTGTCGCCAAATGGATGAGTGAAGTCCCTTGGAAAAGGCTTGAGAGTCATTTGAAAAATCTTGTTTGGTCACAAAAAGAGGCTCAAAGCAATCTGCTGGTGATCACTGATAAAAGTCAGGTTCCAAGAATGCAATACCCAGAAAAATAACCCTCACACATTGTTTTTTGCAAAGAGTGAATGAGAAAAAGAGAAAAGGCATTGTTTGGCTGGAGAATGATGTGGATCATCAAATGCCAGAATTACCCTTTTACAAAGGAGAAGACCAAGGTCCAGATTATTAATTAGCTTGCCTCAGGGTACATAGCTAATAACAGAGCTTGGGCTAGAATCCCAATTTTCTGAGTCCCCGTTCCGTGCCCTTTCCACCATAGTGTGCCCTGTATTAGAGTTGCTGTGTTCATGTTTGGAGAAAAAAATGCTAGACCAAGGCAGAAATGAGTCTTTGAGGGAAACAGCTTGATGCTTTTGGAGCTGGTCAGCTTTTGCCTAAGACCTGCTGCCATTTTGGGCTCTCAGTTTGCTCAGAACTAAATACTGCCAGCTATACAAATGAAAGGCCAGGCTATTATTTAGGCCTCCTAGGTCTGTGCATTCACTTCTCTGCTTGCAAAGGCATATTAGCAGTTCATCTCTGCTGGGCAGTTTGAACATGGGATTATATTAGCCCTTGTCTTAGCCCTTAAACATCTGCTGGTTTGTCTGTTACAATAAATGCACTAGCCTTGCTTTCAGGTTGGGAGAGGAGAGGGAAAAAAAGAAATCTAAATCGATCTCTACCGATGCTGATTTCTAATGCTGTTTCCTTCTGTTTCTTTCAGGGCGACGAGGAAGGACCCAGGTGAGATCACATTATTGCTGCTTGTCCTCAGAATTGAAGTAGAGTGACATTTGTGGCCTTTTTAATGCCCCATGAAATACAGACAGCCAAGAAACAGCACAGAAAAGGGATCTCCATCTTAAGCCAGGGCTTTGAGGATCTTATTTAGTAAGACTCCCATCTCCCTCCCTATCTGTGCCATTTCCTGCCTATAACCTTCAGATAAAGGTAGACTTTAAAGTACGTAATGACAGTAACTTTGCTTTATTCTTTAGCACATTCAGAATACCTTGTTAAGAAGAGTAGGCACTATATTTGGATGGTAATTAGGCTATCAGGTGGACTGACTAGATAAACTTTTGCATTGTTCTTTCTTGATTGGAATTGGATTGCTTTTTTTAATGGACTCTGGATCCAATATTCTTTATTTCTGCCCTCCAACATCTTTGTATCTGACTCAAGGTACCTATACAGTGAATCCTAGGTCATAGGTATATAAAACTTTGTTTAGGAAAAAAAATGCTCCTTTGTGCTCCTCTATCACCACAGGAAGTTTAAAAGTGCATTTCATTATTGCCCCACTTTGCAGTCAACCTGGACTTCGGTTTACTTAGCTTTGCTGCTCAGGCTGTGAGAACAGGCTCTAGGAAACGCTGCAGCTGTGCCATCAACACAGTCGAGGGGCGTCTGTACAGAAAGTAAAATGCAGTGTCTAGATGGGCCCCCTCTGTCACATAGGATCAAGGACTGTTAAGGCTGGGAGGTATCAGGAAGGTCATGCAGACCACTGCTATTCAAACTTTAGTTTTAGCAGAAGCACCTTTTTTTCAAATGGGCTTTAACTAGAACTCCAATGTATAAAAAGCAGTTTTTGGGGCCGGCCCCATGGCGTAGCGGTTAAGTGCATGAGCTCCGCTGCTGGCGGCCCGGGTTCGGATCCCAGGCGCGCACCAACACACCGCTTCTCCGGCCATGCTGTGGCGGCATCCCACATAAAGTGGAGGAAGATGTGCACGGATGTTAGCTCAGGGCGTCTTCCTCAGCAAAAAGAGGAGGATTGGCATCGGATGTTAGCTCAGGGCTGATCTTCCTCACACACACACAAAAAAGCAGTTTTTGTCTGGATAAAGTTGGGGGCCACATCCACTGGTGAACCTTTTCTCTTCATTACAGTAGACGTTGAGGGGCTTCTGCAGAAACCTAAAGTTCCTCAGAACTCAGTTTGAAAATTGCTTATCTATTTCAAGTTTCTGATTGAAAGAAGCTAAATGAATTATCCAGGGTTACCTTACTGGAGCCAGGATGTGGCCCTTCTTTGCTTTTATTTGCAAAGCAACAAATACTGTTCCTTCTTTTTTCATTCTCCCTCCCCATATCCTGAGCCCCTTTCTTAGTGCCAAATGTTATCCCACATCTACATCTCCTGGTGCTTCCCTCCCTTGGGAACTGTGGTTCTCAGCCTAGATCTAGCTCCTTGTCTACTGTGGCTAAAGTCACAGGCACCCTGCTTTAAACCTGCAGAGCCTCAGGGAATCCCTTCAAACCCCATCTTCCAGCAATTCTCAGGAGCAGGCTCCTTCTGTATTACGTTCATTTCTTTCCTTCCATTCTTCCTTCCTTCCTTCCGTCCTCCCTCCCTCCCTTTCTTTTCTTTTCTTATGACCCTACTATGTGTTGGGCGCTGTGCTGTATATACACTGGGTGTATAATGATAACTCAGACAGACATGGCCCCTGCCCTCGTGGATCCTAAGTGTAGTGGGAGAGATGAGCATATAACCAGGCACTTAGACCGTGGGAGAAGTGCTATGATTAAGGGAAGTTTAGAAAGGGCTTTAGAAAGGGCTCCTAAGTCAGTCTTGGGGGATAAGGGGAGTCTTACCAGAAAAGGTTATATGTAAACAGATGTCTGAAAGATGAGAGGGCAGGCAAAGGAGGAACAGGGGTAGAGTTGTTCTAGGTAGAGGGAACAAGTCATGTAAAAGCTCCAGACAAGAGAAGAGTGGAGGAAAGAAAGCAGAGTCCAGATTATTTAGGGCCTTATAGGCCTCCTTAAGGTGTCTGAGTTCTGTCCTGCAGGTGGTGGGAAGGCATTAAAGAATTTTCAACAAGAATTAACCTGAGTAGATTTGCATTTTGGAAGTCTCCCCTGCCTGTAGAATGGAAAATGAATTGGAAGTGGGTCAACACTAGAGCCTGGGAGACTAGTTAGACTAGGCTAGTGATGATGGAAGCCTAAATCAACATCTCTAGTTATTGACCAAGTTTTCACTGTTTTGCACAGGCCTTTGGTTTAGATTAACTGTTTAAATTATCTCCTTGACGCTCCACCTCTTCTGTTCTCAAGACTAGCTCTAGCTGTTTAGAGAAGCCCTAGACCTTCTTCTTCCCCAGAAAGAGAGTTCAAACAAGACCAGTATAAAGAAAACACCTTGGCAGATATAATGTGCGGACTCCACAGGGTAGAAATGGCATTTCTGTCTTGAGTGAGCCTGCTTAGGATGGACACACTCATCTTATATTTATGGCCACATGTCAGAGTCATGTTGATTAGAAGAATACAGGGACCTCATGAAGAGATTAATTCCCTTCCAAAGATACTATTCAGTGTGGGATACTGGCTTTATAGTTTAATTGCAGATACCTTAATGTCATTTTGACAAAATAGTGGTGAAGCCTAGAGTTTCTTTACTAGTAACCAAGATGTCAGGCTGTCTTCCTCGAGCCAGGCTGCCATGGATATCAGCAGGGATTCTGTTGGACTGGGACTTGACAGAACCCTTTTTTGGTACAATGAGCACTTGAAGAGCAAGTTCCAATTTGGCAGAAAGAGGAAACAGGAGTCAAATTTTCTTTTTAACCTTTAAATTCGTACTTACTGATTCCATTCAGTTTGTGTTGAACTACCATTTGGCTCAGTTTATTCCAATTAACACTTCAGGGCCGATAGCCTTTGATCTGAAATTTCTCTCATTTATGATATACACTTTACCATCTCAATAAGCCAAACACAGTTTTATTCCAAAGGCTTCTGTATTGCTGACAGTATTAAATGAGAGTTTGCTGCATAAGGGAGACAGAAAGGAAGTGTGGGTCTGCCTGCTCAGGGAATGGAAGAGAAATGACTCTGGAGACCCTGTGTTCCAGGTCTGCTTGGATTATTAGAGCTGTGTCTCCTTCGCTAGCGTCCTTTCCACCCAGCCACTTCCCCATTGTCTGCACAGAAGTCCAGGGAGAAGTGGATTCCCATCACTCTCCATGGTGGCAGGAACAAAGGAGAATTCCTGTCCTATTGAAACATATTTCTCTGTAATAGATTTATGTCTTCCTCCCTTCCTATCAGCTGGAATCTCCCTGCCTTCTTTCCTCTTTTCAGTTTTGACTTCCCAAGCTGTTTGACGTGAGGTGGCCAAATATTTGTGCTTTTGGTCGTGTCTCTTCCTTGCCCTGAATTTTATTGTGTGGTTGTCCTGCTAATTAACAACAATAATAATCATAGCTACCATTTATTGAAGGTTTACTATGTACAGTGTTTTATATATATTCTCATTTAATCCTCATGTAAAGCTATGATGTGGTTATTATCCCACCTGTAAAATGAGCAAATTCATGCTCAGAAAGATTAACTTGCCCGAGATCGCACAGCTAGTAAGTAGTGGAGCTACGACTTGAATCTAGTCTGGCTTCAGGGCTCATGCCCTCAGCCACCATTCGGGCTGTCTCCAAGAGGCCAGCGCACTTCTCTCCGTGACCCTGAATGAAAGCCAAAGGATTCATACCACTCCTCAGAGGATCACTCTGGTCTTGTTCCTCTAACCTGGGAGTTCTTACTTGTTTTGACATTGAATTGCTGTGGCCTCTGTTTTCTGCAAGCTACTTCTTCTCTCCTTAGCCTGTCATTATGAAGGGATATTTCTTCATCTCATCCTCACAGAGTGTCCTCTGAGGGTCAGCAGCAAAAGGGGTGCTTTTAGACTCCCTGGGGAGCAGGCAACCAAGCCTTCCTTTGACCCCACAGAATGAGCTGTCTATTGCCCCTCCATCTGGTAGTTTACTCTTCAGATCCATGATACAGTCATATAGATGGCAAAGATTCTTGGAGGGCTTGGAGGAACAAAAGTCCTAATATGTAGAACATGGATATTAACCACTGTGGAGTCATCTTTTAAGAGGGTGTCTTTGAAGCCCAGAGCGATTTTTTTTTTCAAGCAAAAAAAGCAATTTACACTTTGGGCAGCAATTTTCTGTCTTCTCTGTGCTATTATGGGAGATCTTGTGTTCACTCCCTCATAGATTGGCTCCTTCTCTACTCCTGCCGGAGCCTGCTGAGAAGTAATGTATATTCCAGGAGAGGCGGTGGCTATGGGATCTGCTGCCTTGAAAGCTGTTGTGTAGGGGGAGGAAGTCAGAGAGGGAAGGACCCTTAAACTCTGTGCTCAGAGGAGAAAGGAGCAAGATCAGTATTAAATTTTGATTTGCTATTGAGATTTTCTGTAATTTTTTTTAAACTAAGAGGAAAATGGCTTTTTAATAGTAACAGCACTTATGTAGAATTGTTCATCCTCAGAGTTGGCTCGTATTCAGGCACAAAGCTCCTGCTGAGATCAATGTGAATCTGAGCTGTGCTGATTCTGTGATCAAGCAGGCAGTGACTTCTGAAGGAGCAGAGACTCAAGGAGAGAGTCTGCAGACCTGCCTTCTCCTCTTGGTCTGCTTGGGACTGGCTGTGTGACCTGGGGCAAGTCACTTAACTCTTTGCCTCTTTATAGTCTGGTTTTTTCCCTAGAAATGCGAACGTTTCTTTCCTCTACTCCCCACCCAGTTTTTTGGGATGTAGCTGTGTGGAGGAATACAGTTTTATATCAAATAGGGAGTGGAAAGAATCTGCTTATAGATTCTGTAATTTGGTAGTTTGGTTTTTTTTTTTAATCTTCTCAATTTTGTTTCTTTAAAATTTTTCTTGGGCCTGTGTACTAGGCACTCTTTTTCCCCCTCTAAAATAATAACCCTATATTCTTAGAT